ATCTTTGAAAAGCAGAAATGGAGCCTACAGCACAATTAACAAGAATGCAGGAAGGGGTTTCTGGATGGTAAGACAACAACGAAGCACATCTTTATTTATTTATTTATTTATTTATTTATTTATTTATTTATTTATTTATTTATTTATTTATTTTTTAAGCACTTTGACTGTTTTTAGAAGCAGTTGAAACCCAAATGAAAATACAAAAACATGCAAGAAGATTTTTTTTTTTTATTTATTTCAGAAAAGGTTCCCTTAAATGTCATAATTTTTTGCATACTGTGCTCAGCTTATAAGAAACTGGGTGTTGGTTGGTGAAAATGTTTTGTTTCTGCCAGTAAAAAATACCCAACAAATAAATCTGAGTAACTCTCACTGCAGATAAATGAGTCAGCTTTTCTAAAATGACAGATGCTGGTTGTTTCTTATTATGTCATGGTTGCTGGGTGCCTCAGATGGGAAAAGCAAGAACAGCGACAGATCTGGCACCAGATTGAAGATAAATATCTCACTCCATGATGGCAGGAAAAATGATCCAAATCAGAGTCTGGCAATCAGAGGCAGACATTTGAAGGCAAAATAAACTTTTATTTCAGTTGTAAATTCACTATTTTCACACCTCTAACATCTCCAGGATCAACTAATTTATTACCAGGAGTTCAGGGAGAGAAGAAGGCAAAAGATTTGGAGTTTAATAACTAGATGTCAAACAGACCATCACAGAGAAAAACAAAAACACAAAAAGAAATCAGGATTTAACTGTGATTTATGCGGCCCTCTAAATTATAAACTAAACACAAAGTGTGCTTAGATACCCAGATAGCACAGAATGATTGAAACAACATTGAATCAACGTTGAAAGCTGACATTGAAAAAACATTGAAAGTGGCCGTGACTTGTATGTTGAATCAACGTTAGGGTTTCAACCATAACTGACATTATTTCCAAATCAGTGCCACACTTTGATTTTTATTGCAAAAAAATCACAAAGCAATCGTGAAATCCTGCAGGGTCTGAAAAGATGTTCAAGAATATTATTTAATTTTAAGAATTCATTGATATTTTATCAGTTTGCGAACAGGTTTTATCAATACATTCTGGGTTAGAAATCACAGTAGCCGACACCGAAGTGTTTGTTCCCTTTGGCTAGGCTTTTAGTCCCTTAATCAATGAAATCATCATTTGAACTCTGCATTTTGTATTCATTTATTTGGGTTATTTTTGTGTGATGTTCAAATGTCCTAAATCAGTAAGAAATCTGTAAGGCGACAGACTGCTAAAGCCTCGGCGGATCATTAAGCACTGAGGAACAAAGGTACAGTCTGACTAACAATGAGGAAATTCACATTTACATTCATCATCTGCCTTCACAGCAGACAACAGATGGGAGTGTTATGGGAAGAAAACTAGAGAACCTTTGCTTCCAGTATTAATGCTTCAGACACAAATCACCTGAAATTATCAGATGATAAACTCATCTGATAATTGACAGCAGACTGTTGTTCCTCTCTTACATTAGACTTATGGAAACCATTAGATTTAGAAGAGACACAGTGAAGTTAAATGAATGATCTGTGCTACACAACGCTAAAATCTACCTTTTATATATTTAATTAAAAGTTCTGTCCTTCTCTCCACCTTTCTGTCCAGGTCAGCGCACCTCCTGTCCAGATACCGGCCTCGCTGTCCAATCATCGCCGTCACCAGAAGCCCTCAGGTAAACTTTGATAAACTCAGAGATAAACGCTTGTGTATTTGTCTCGGATTAAATTACAGCCTAATTGTTGATGAATCATCCATCTTTTCAAAAATAAAAACAAAACAAACTGAGCAATGTGCGATACAGTCATTATTTACTCTCACTGTCTGTTGCTGTAAATATTGACGGTGTGGACACGTCAGAGTGAAAATGAAAGGAAGTTGTCTGCAGATAAAACCGGAAATCCTATAAAAAAAACATATTTAATCTTCTAAAATCATCTGGAGGAAATAGAACTTCAAGTTGTTTACTTAAATATTATTGTATCAGTCAAATCAAATCAGTTTTTATGTGTATGGTGCCATTTTACTTCAGCATTAATTGATGTTAAATTAGAATTACTCATCGAATGCAGACAGAGTTATAATAATAATTTATTATTAGGTAATTTCATCAATAAGTAGTTTGACACTCCTCTAGGCTGCAGAAGACTAGAAGGTTTCAACTTCAAGCAGAACAACAACTGGTACAACCAAAGGTGCCATTTTTCAAGGTTTTATTTCCAAATAATAATTGCACGGTTGAAAACACAAAAGGTAACTCTTTTTACGAAGGGATGAGCATAAGCCTTACATGAGACATGAAACATGACACAACAGTCATGAACATGAAGGAGTCTTCGTAAATGTTTGCGACTGTTGTAACTATATTTCAGCAAATAATGAAAGTTAATTAAAAGTGTCAACTTTGCATTATTCAGTAAATAATGAGACTTTTAATGTAAAGTCACATTAAAATTTGCATGAAAAGTCGATTAAAAATGTCAAGTTTGCATTAAAAGTGTCTTTATTTACCGAATGACACTTCATGACAACTGTCATAAACATTCATGAAGACTTCTTCATGTTCATGACTGATGCTACGTCATGTTTACGACAGTCTCATGTCAATCTTATGCACACATCTTAAAGTGTTACCAAAAACATGATTAATCCCTTTTCAGTTTAAAATTACGGGTCGCTTCATGTTGGTCTGTCTTAAAAAAAATACCAGTATAATAAAAAAACATTTTTGCTTTGTTTTGAAAAGGCTGCAGGAGTGTGAACAAATCCAAACACTGGAAGGGCAAAGATTTTAAACTGGAATAAAAATGACTGACTGCATCTTCCTCAGGTGGCGCGTCAGTCCCAGCTGCTGAGAGGCGTATTTCCTGCTCTTTTCCACCCTCTTCCTGCTCCCGTCTGGGCCGATGATGTTGACAACAGGGTCAACTTTGGCATGGAAATAGGTCAGTGTGTATGACTGATGTTTGCTCCCATCTCCTTCCTCTTGAATTTAAATCATTTCCACTGGCATTTCTCTGCAGGGAAAGCAAGGGGATTCTTCAAGTCGGGAGACATGGTGATTGTGGTGACGGGCTGGATCCCAGGATCCGGCCACACCAACATCATGAGGGCGGTGAGCGCCTAGCAGCTACGCCTCTGTACCGGATCCTAAATCTGACCCCCAGTCTGCGCTGGGAAGGCTTTATGGTGAATGTAATTGGTGAATGTGGTTTTCACTACAGCACTGTCGCAGTTTGAGGTATTACGAGGAAACGTAATCTCATGTGTGATGAATGACTCCTTCAAATAAAACTTGAAGCTTGAACTGCGGCTGACCTCTCATTGTTGTCAGGAAGCCAACTGAAGCTAACTTTAGCTTCTTTATGCATTAAAATCAGATTTTATCTGTGTGTCTGTCCATGTAACACGTTGCTACTGTTAATAAAGATAAAGATAAGGCTTTTACTCACATTTCTGAGCATATTTCCCTTCAAACTTTTTTTTATTTTTTTTAGCAAATATAAGCAGCTCTGTGTGATATATTGAAAACATTTGGGGAATTTCCTTTGTATCCACAGAGATGATCTTCCTCTCCACTAATGATCCAGTTTGTGGCATCGTTTCTTTTCTTCTAGAGATATCGACGCCCTCCTCCACTTCCTCCTCCTCCTTTTCTTTTATTAGTGTGTTTGCATATTTAACATTCCCACGAATCCTCTTCTGCAGTTTATTCAACCCTCCATCTGCAAACACACAACCTCTCTCCTTCCTCTGTGAGCCATATTCTTTCTAGCAAATGACCTTTAATCCTCAAGGACTTTTGCATTTACCTCTTCTAAGAATACCCTGTACAATCTGCAGACATAGACTTAAAAGAATAAAGAAAGATACAAAGATACAAGGTTCAAAACACAGCCATAACACAAAAACAAGGAGAGAAACTCAGGAGTCAGGAAAACGAGTCTGTACAAAATTAGTATTAAAAGAACTCAAAACCAAAGAGTAAAAACAAAACTCAAGCACTTCAAAATGAGAAAAAATGAATGCAAGAATAAAAATTGATAATAGTAACTTGGCAAAAGTAAAAGCTTTATTAACTCATACCAGTAAATATGCCAAAGAAAAAAGTTCTTACTGTTAGACTCGTGATTGTGGTCATAACATGTTGATCTAAAACTGAGGAAAATATCAAATTATTCCATCTGTCCATCATGTGCATGAATTTTGCAACAATCTAAGTAGAGTAGGTTAACATATTTTCCTGCTGAATGTGAATTAAACATAATCTTCCCACTTTTTCTGTTCACTGTCAGGGTTTGCAGTTTAGATATCGATGTTTTTTTGTTTATCTGGATTGACAAATCTGAATTTGACCAGAAATTAATCACATTCTCATATTCTTCTAAAAGTTCTGAGGATTTAATTTTATCTTTAAAATCCAATTTGAAAAAAAGGATTGAACAGACACAGATGAAATCCGATTTGCACGAACCTCTGAGCTCGGTCCAAACCTGCTTCAGGTTCGTCAGTTCTGTCAGGAGGAATGGGCCAAAATCTCAGCAAACTATAACGAAAAGTTTTTGGAAGGAAACTCAAAATGTCTGTCCAAGGTCATAAACTTTAGAAGATGTTGAACCTGTTTTCTGAATTTGTAAAAAAAAAAAAAAAAAAAAAACAAAAAATTGGTAATTAGCAATTATCAATAATTTTAGTATGCGGGTATAATGTGATTTAATGTCTGACAGACAGCGGATCGTGTGTTTCCACCTGTAGGAGCTTTAACTTCTCCCCTTCAAGGAGACTCTCCTTTTTTCCGTCTCTAAAGTTTCATCATTGCTCTCTACATCAGCCGCTCCCACGTTGCATTGTCTGGAATTGATGACGCGCGACTGGTACCTGCGAGACATGCGTGCGTCTTGCGCCAGCCGCGCACGCGGCCTTTGTGGGGGGGGGTTAGCGGATGATGGGGATGCGGGTGCCATGGTAACAGGACGATTAGATCCGGACCTTTATATGCAGATTTATTTATTTAATTCTCATTTCAGCGCGCCTGTGTGGACGTGCAGGCTGTCGGAGAGAGAGGAGCGAATTGCGCGAAAGACCTTAAAACGCTCAACAAGTGCTTTTTTTGTTTTGTTTTGTTTTTGCTCTTTTCTTTTTGTCAATAATTGCGCTGGATACTCTTGATTCTGCGGAGTTGTGAGGACAAAGCCGCTTTCTTTTTCTGCCTGCTGGAGACATGTATCTGCTCTCGGAGAAGGACGCCGCCTGTTTTCTGGACAGAATGTCATTGAAAGTCGTGTGAAGTGCGGATGGAAACTGAAGCTGCTTCTGAAAGCCTGAAATAACGCGAACAACGGGACCAAGTTAACATTCTCCGCTCCCTCTGTCTGTGAGCGCTTCAGTCACGGGTGGACTTTCTTTCCCCTTTTTTTTTTTCCAGCGCACCTTCCATCATCATTTCTCTTCAGATGCTGACAAATGACTGCGTGTCGTGTTTTCCGAAAAAGCATGGGCTGAGATTTTTAGGGGGTTGATTTGGCTTGTGTGCGCCCCGCTGACCATGTCTCATTTTCCGTGTGCGTGTTTGTGGACGCGGTGTCAGGATGGATCGGTGCGCGTCGGAGTGTGAGCGTCTCTTTTGGTCGATACTTTATGTGCAATAACAGTCCCTCTGCTGCGACCGAAGGAGCGAGTGTCCTTGTCATTCATCCTCGGATGGATGTTCCGACCCAAGCATCCCTTACGTAACGACATGTGTGTTGGAGGTGAAAAAAGGCATTACTGGACGAGTGGTGTGGAGAAATAGGCGACGGCGACGGTCAGTGAGCGACCAGGACGCTTATCTACAGCAGACCGGAAAGCCGGTGCCGATATGACTGGCGCTGGAGCGCCGAGGGCGGCTGTGGAGAGGAGAGGGAGGGCCGCTGGCGGAGAGCAACCTTTCAAGGACGAGGAAGGAGGAACGATGGAGAAACATCTGTGAGGACAAACGAGACTCTTGAAGTGGGGGTGAAAATGTGGCTGCTGGCGTGACAGTGGGAAGAGTAAAGAATTCAATTATCTGCGTGGGGCCATTTCCAAGGGCACGGAGGTAAGGATGGCCACATTACCGGAGAGAGGCCGGGGGTGCGAGGAAGCAGCTCCAGGAGAATGAACACAGACTCGGGTTACTTTCCCCCCCATCATCTTTTGTTTTAATAAAAGCGACAGAGACATCTTTACCTATGTAGGATAATCTGAACAGGTGATCACAGCCTACAGGTTATAACACCATTCTCCCTGAGTGGGGATGGATGGGGTGGCGGGAGGTGTGGGCACCCCTGGCAGCGCTGGGGGCTCCGGGGGTGACACCCTGCCCAGGCGGACTGATGGGGAAGCAAAGCGGCGCAGTAAAGGCAGCCTGCCCTCCCCGGGCTACCGGCTGTCCCAGGCCTCTCTGGAAGGAGAGAAGGGCTCCTTCAGTGCAGACAGCTCCTCCATGAGTGGACGAGGCCGCCGCCCCTCCATCATGAGCTCCTCCCCCAGGGACAGCCTCCCCTTTCGTGCGGCAGGCACCCCAACCACCCCGGGGACCCTACCCATGGCACTACCACCTCCAGCAGCATCCTCCTCCTCCAGCTCTACCCATCCTCCTCCTGCTCTACGGTCTGTGGGCTTCGCAGCGTCCCGTGCCGCCCTGGCCCCCACCTCCTCCACCGGAACCGGGGTCATGGTGGTGGCCACCGGCGCAGAGACGACCACCACGGCCTGCAACACCACCGTGGCGGGGACCCCGGAGATGGCGTGCCAGTCTGGGCTTGGAGGGTTTGGGATGGGGCTGGACGGAGAAGACTACAGCAACTCCAACCAGAGCACCTTCATCCAAAGACAGTTTGGTGCCATGCTTCAGCCCGGAGTCAATAAGTTCAGTCTTCGTATGTTCGGGTCCCACAAAGCTGTTGCCATGGAGCAAGAGAGACTAAAATCAGCAGGAGCCTGGATCATCCACCCCTACAGTGACTTCAGGTAAACAGAAAACAACCAGCAAGCAACTGGTAGCAAATGGCACCTGTAGCACATCAAAGGCCGATTCTTTTGGGGAGAATCAGTTCAAACAAGTGGAATTGTGATACGTTTTTAAAAAGCACACTTGAAAGATAACGAAAGACACTCAAGAACAAACACAGCACAGAAATACTTTGGAGCTTAAAAGAAGGAAGACGATGAGGGAAGAGGGCAGGGCTAAAGGGATAGAGAGGATGTGGTGTATTAAAGAATAATAAAATCAGCAAAATCAGTCAAAAATAGTGATTCATGCAGCTTTGATGAAAAACAAGGTGAAGAAGTTCGGTGAAACAAATTTTACTTAGATCTTATTGTACAGTAAAGATCTCTTGTAGCAGTCTGTATCACAGTGAATTTGAAGAAACCTCTGACTGAAGACACTGCTTGCCTAAGGCAGTCTCTTGAAGAGGATGGTTAGGGTTGTCCATAATTTTCTTGAACTTATTTGAAATCCTTCATTACGAAGTGAAAATGGTGAGATGGCACCGTGACCCGGGGGGCACAAAATGCTAAAAAAAATATATATATATATATATATATATATATATATATATATACACAACAAGTTTATGAAAATAAGCACCCACGATTACCCATCTCCCCCTCCACATGGCATCTTTCTGCAGTTACAAATGGCTAATGATGCTGAAACTTGTGTCTGATTTGTAGCGTAGCGACAAATTAAGGTGATTTTTAAGGAGATAAAGACGTAATATTCAGTTTACATCTACTTACCCTTATCGGTGTTTATTATTCAATTTACAGAAATCCAAGCTTGTGATATTTGCTTAATACACTCTGTTAGAATTTTTTTTTTCTTCTTCTAAAATCATTTTTGGATGAGAAATATAAACAGAAATGAACCAATAATGTCACAAAATGTAATTTTCTCTAAATCAAATTAGAATAAAAAACCTGACCTGATTGAGAAAAATGGACGTCATTTTTGGTTCAGCGGTGCAAAAAATAATCCTAATTCTGTTTTAAAAAAACATAGACAACTTCCAAAAATACATTTTCTTTTAACTCAGTGTTGCTTGTGGTACTTTCTATTTGTACTTGGGAGTTCCCAGTAGTAAGTACTACTGGGAGAGCGCCCCCTTTGGTGAGGATGGTGTCTTTGGTTGTGTTTGGGGAGGAGTCCTGCTCCTGAGATGCTTAGCAACCAGTTGCTACATGACATATTTCTGGTCTCATGCAAGTGAGACTTCGTTTTAAATCTGACTAAATTTTATTGGTTCTGTTCACATGCATTTTCCTAAATCAAGCAATAACATGTGTCATATATATATTTTTTATTCTATCCTGTCATATAAAGGTAGATATTCACTGGGGGAGTTAATCCAGGCTTGTTTAGGAGCATTTCTCACTATAATCTCTAGAACTATGCAGGTGGACGTTGGAGGGACTGACAGCTTTCTGAATCTCCAGACACACTGCAGCAACAATGGATGACTTGATCCCCAAGGCTCCTGGCCCACTTTGAGTCATTAGGCACACACAGACTGTGTAATTTTTTTGTGTATATTGTCTGTCAATGCGATGATCGCCCCAGAGCTGTGAGGGATGGGCGTCGTCGCAGGTGAAACGATGAGCGAGGCTGATGAGGAGGTGAGCAGAAGGATGACAGGGGAGGTGCGGAGATGCTGATAGTGTTGTCGCAAGAGGACAATTTAGGATTTCTGCGTTATACTTACTGTGAATTATGCAGACTGAGCATGCATTATGCATTATTCACTCATACAACTTTGTAAGTACGTGTGATCTGGAGCGACACCTGAAGAATTATGCATGGCCAAGTGGCAGAAAAGAGGAAGTAAATTACAGCTAAAACAACCTCATTTGAATCATCCTTGTGCGAAAGCGTCTGTCAGGATATGTGTAGGAATGTGTGTGCATGTAGGGGTATCATTACTGAGTGTGCTGATAAGCTCCCCTCTTCCTACATAAAGAGACAAGCTACTCCTCCTTCACTTACAAGAATATATCAAGTGAATGACAATTAATCTATGTTTGTGCACAGCTTTTATAAAGATGATGGATGGTGGTGGACAGATGCAAGCAGGGAGACAATCACAGGTTCCTCAGGAGACACTTGGCCTCAATTACAGTAAAAAAATTAGTGTTCAGTTTGACATCAGCTGAGCAGGTATAGATGCAGGTCAGCGGTCGTCCAGCAGCTGTTCGTATTCAGAGAGGGAATGCTGATGAGGCGGCAGACACCATCTTTGATTGCATTTGCAATTCCTATTTGTGTGGAGTTCAAGCGAACACGACGAGTACAGACACATGCAGGTATGCTTGCTTGAATCAAGGACGTGACCCATGAAATGAGGTCAGAAATATCATCTATAAGGTTTTGTTTTGAAACAAATAATTTACCTATCATGTTTATATTTCAATTAAGTTGGAAAATGTTTTTTTACAGGATGCAAAAAGCTGAAGCAGACCAGAAGAAATTTCCCAAGTTACTAAATATATATGCACACAAGATCTTTAATTGACTATCTAGGGATAGTATGATCAAACCTTCATTTAAATGCAACAATTCTTCAAACGTTGTTTTAAAAAACAAACATAAATCCTATTAATAAAAGTAGAACAGGCAGCTCAAACACAAGAAAACAGGGATTTTACAGTAAGCAAAGTAAACATCCTTCTTCCAGACTCTATGACTGAACAGAGATTTGTAATTAAAACCTGGGTTACTGAATTTTCCCCAATGAAAAGAAACGTGTTAGATTTGCAGCTGCAAGGTGCTTGATTCATAGGTAATAAAAATATTTAAAATTAATCTGTTCTTTATATGTGAGCTAATAAATTACGTTTCTGGATTCTCCATTGGAAAAACAACAATGAAATAAGCCAAGCATGTAAATTTAATTTATTCAGCTTATTGTCCATACATCCATCCATCAATCATTCAGTCATTTTTTCTTCACATTTCTTTACACAAACCACGAGACATATAATGTAACATGCATGCACTGTTTTTGATCAAAATGTTTCTAGTTTTTTGTTGTTATTAACAAAAAAGCAATAAATAAAAACAGTAATTTTTGCTGTTAATTTTCTTAAAAAAATAAATAAATAACTGATCACAAAAGTAGTGCAGCTGAATCTCTTTAATGTTTGTTGCAAAGCTACAGCAGAAAATCTCCACGAGTGTTTTTCATGAGTGTTTTTCATCTAACCCGTCGTTTGGCTTAAAACGTAAAAGGACATATTTTGACCGAGCTCTATTCCTGGAAACACGCAGGATGTTATTCGTCTATAAATAGCGCCGACATGAACAACCAGTACGTGATTCACAGATTTATTGAGCTCTAATCAAAGTTAACGAGGTGTGAGCTTGAGGTCGGGAATACCGCTCCGTCTTTGCTGCAGGAAGCCTTGTTTGCGTTGCTGTCAATAATCCCCGTGTTTATCGCCAGTGATTACGAAGCGATGCATCTGTCAGTATAAATGACAAACTCTGAACGGGGAGCGCGAGCAGAAGCAGAAAAATGACTCACGCAAACTTAATCTTCATCAGTATTGGTGGTAGCCTCGCGCCATGAGGTCATTATTTGACTGAATTAAGGCTCAATATCAATCGAGGGCAGAGCTCCAGCGCGTTTTCTCAGCGAGGAACGAAACGGAGGAGAAGTTAGTCAAAGTGATGGATGAAGGGATTAGAAGAAAGGGAGACGGGGAAATGACAAGGACTGTCTCCAGATGATTGGATCGACTCTTCTTTCATACTTTAATCACTTTTGACATCCGAATGGCGTGATTTATTTGCTGAATTTATATCAGAGAGCTTAAATACGTCACTGAGAAATGTTCTCAAGCATGAAATGCAGACTGATGAGACCTCCCAAGGTTATTTTTCCTCTCATTTCATTCCTCTCTCTTTTCCCGATTCAGTTAAGGATCTCTTTTGTTCGTAAAGATGAAAAGATTGATTTATAATGTGTGCGCAGGGACTCCTTATTCATCACTGTAAAACTCTACATTTATTGACTCCCCTTTTATTACAGGAGCATAAGCTCTGTCTAAAGCTTTATTTTGAACAAATTTATTCAGCAGGGAAAGATTATCCCTTTAGGAAACAGTTGTTTTGAAGAAATCCATCTGTGTTTTCCAAGACTTATAAATCTCACCACAGCACTAAAATAGCTATTTTGAGAGTTTTAATGACCTTTTTAAACCTCTAACTTGTGACCATTCTACGTTACATAATAAATCATGACTAGAGTGTGTTGTCTTGGCTCAGATCCTGTCTCACTAAAAGGAGTTTGTCCAGTTAGGAGAATATTTCTCCTCTATGTTTCACGTCAGTTCTTGGTATTCTTGTCTCTGTTTTGTTTATACCGCCATTTTTTAAGGAACCACCATATTTGAGTGCACTTCTAGATTTATAGGTCTTGATGTGGCACAAATAAAAATACTGAAAGGAATGGTGGTGCTCATGATGTTGTTTATATGTTGGACAAGGAATTACTGCCAGTCCACAAACCAGAATCCTGTAGAAACCCTGAAGCCTGAGCTGAAGAAAGAAAAAAATCTACAGCAGGATTCTGGATGATCCAGACAAAAATGATCAAAGATCTATCACTCTGAATGCCCCATTTGAATATTACCAACAACTTTAAATGTATTAAATCTCTGAACATATGGAAAAATTAAGAGTCCACTGCTCAGAACCCCATTGAAAACCTCCTGGCTATTCCACCAAATATTAATTTCTGAACTCTTCCTAAGTTAAAACATCAGTATTGTTGTTTCTAAATGAATATTAACTTGTTTTCTTTGCATTATTTGAGGTCTGAAAGCACTGCATCGTCTTCGTTATTTTGACCATTTCTCATTTTCTGCAAATAAATACACAATTTTTGCTTGTAAATTTGGAGACATGTTGTCAATAGTTCATAGAACAAAAAAACAATGTTAATTTTACTCAAACATATAACTATAAACAGTAAAATCAGAACAACTGATAAGTTTAAGTGGTCTCCTATTTTTTTTTCCAGAGCTTTACATGTAAGTTAAATAAAAATTTGAGTATTTTATTAATGAAGAGGAACTTTTATGCATTGCTTATGTAATTTATGAGATGATATGTTATTGTAGATAAATGTGTTAGGAACTTTTAAGATTGTGTGGTGTGTGTTTTTTTCTTACTGGACAATATAAGATCAGTCTGTAATATCAGTCCTTTTGACATGTGATTGTAGGAAAAGCAGAGGTGTTACTAAAATATCTGTGTTCCTGTTGGTTACAAAAGAGCGAATCTATACAAATGTCATTTGTATTCTTATAATAATCCATTGACTGAAATACTCAGTGTAGACACGATTTGGACAAAATCTTACTGCTGTTTGACTGTGCTGTCAGAGCACATTATCCTTACAAAAAGCAGCAGTGGAAACAGAGCGACTTGACACAGCTGGAAAATATGTTGTGCATGTTAAACAGATTTAATGGAGCAGAACTATTGTGTTTGGATTTTACACACAGGCATTTGTGTGACAGGGTGCAATGTCACTCCAATTTTATCAACACATCTATTTTATACATCTTTTACTTCTGAAAAAAATTCTAACTATTCTAGAAACTAGAATATTTATGTTCTAGTTTCTAGAATATAAAAATGCCTAATCTGGACTGTAATTAAATGCAATATATAGCAAGGTTTGATCGAGACCTTCTTTCTGTATGTTTTACTTTGACAATTAAAAAAAAATAATAATTCAAAGTTGGAATAACAGAGAATATGATAGATTAAAATACCTTTTATTGTCCCAAATGGGGAAATTCAGGTGCAACAGCAGCAAATTGACAGGAAATCCAAGCATGTAGATTCAGACTAAGATAAAAGTATTACAATACTTTTGTAATACTTTTACAAAAGTATTACAAATGTAATACTTTTGTATTACTTTTGTAATTATTGTTGCAATAACAACAATAATTGTTGTTATTCCAACAATTCAAAGTTGGAATAACAGAGAATATGATAGATTAAAATACCTTTTATTGTCCCAAATGGGGAAATTCAAGTGCAACAGCAGCAAATTGACAGGAAATCCAAGCATGTAGATTCAGACTAAGATAAAAGTATTACAATATATATAAAAATAAGAATAATATAAAGTACAAAAAAGGCAAAATTACAGCATAATATACTACGAAGTTACAATAAAAACTATCAATGATAGGTCATTTTTCAGGCTTTCTGTAATCTTTCAAATACAAAAATATCATTTTGTATTTATCCTGCAGTCTGATGACATTTAAACTGAAGCTAAATTAAAATCAGCCCAGGAGAAACCTGGGCTGACTGGCCACTCAGAGAGGAAGAACCCATTACAGTAAACCAGACTGACTGGGGAAAGTTTAGCCTGATTTAATATCAGACAGTGATATTAAAGGTTTTCTGTGTTTTTATCTGGTTTCTGCTGTAGTTACAACCACAACACTTAGCAACTCTTACAATTTTTAACCATCAACTACAACAAAATCATTCCCAGACCAGCAAATATTACCAAAATTCCCATGTATAAATTCACCAGGGATGACTGAAGACATTTTCACCATCATGCAAATTGTTGGATGATAACAATCAGTGATCATTCACTGCTTCAGAAAAAAAGCTTTCTTCTTCTTCATCTTTACGTCTGTGTTGATGATGCATCTTTGAACTTTAAGGAAAATGGAGGTTTGTGGTTTTCTGCCTCCAGGTTTTACTGGGACCTGCTGATGTTGCTGCTGATGATGGGGAACCTGATCATCCTGCCGGTGGGCATCACGTTCTTTCGGGACGAGAACACCCCTTCATGGATCATCTTCAACGTAGTTTCTGACACTCTCTTCATGGTTGACCTGGTTCTGAACTTCAGGACCGGCATCATGAAGGAAGACAGCACTGAGATCCTCCTTGACCCAAGGTCAGTTTGAGCATATGGGTGTGTATTTTTCTTTATTTTTAGAATATCGGTAGATCCGACCTGTTTCCTTGGCTACCAGTAGGAGATAACGGTTCGGACATATTTGTATGCATGAGGGGAAAAGAGGTTCAGCCGGACTTTGTTCAAGTTCCAGTGTACTGCTGATGAATACTGAGTCCAGCAAACACCAGACTCACTTCCACAAACCCGCCCAGCCAGATGAGGCCTGCCTCTTCTCCTCCATCTTTATCCACCTCAGGGCAATCCGCCAGAAGTACCTGAAGACCTGGTTCCTCGTGGACTTTGTGTCGTCCATCCCCGTGGACTACATCTTCCTGATGGTGGACAGTCTGGACTCGGAGGTCTACAGGACGGCTCGGGCCCTGCGGATAGTCCGCTTCACCAAAATCCTCAGCCTGCTTCGTCTGCTGCGCCTGTCCAGGCTCATCCGCTACATCCACCAGTGGGAGGAGGTGAGTGGCGGACGCCGTGGACGAAGAGGACGCTTTCTTTGACAATTATGGCGTGTTGTTGGTTTTTTGTAAACTCAGGTTAAATGCTGGAAATAACTTCATTAAAAAAGATGCAAAATAGAGTCCAAGCTGTAAATTCACCCTATTCTTCCACAGATCTTCCACATGACCTATGACCTTGCTAGTGCCATGGTGAGGATTGTAAACCTGATCGGTATGATGCTGCTTCTGTGCCACTGGGACGGCTGTCTCCAGTTTCTGGTCCCCATGCTGCAGGATTTCCCTTCTGACTGCTGGGTTTCCAAGAACCTGATGGTGGTGAGTCTCCACCCGGGTCCAGTTTTTTAAAGATTTAACTCGTTCATTTCATGATAAACAGCATAGAAAGTCCAAGTTGAGCTTAATGAAACACTCAAGTGTCTGAACTTAAAACCAAAAGCTCCGATTTATTTTTGTGCTATTTTAGGTGACAAAATAACATGAAACAGTGGATGCTTGTGAATTAAAAGAACAATAATACATGGAGGGTCTGGCATGTTCAGGGTTGTTCTGCTACAGAAGAATCAGAGCTGTATGGATGTAAACATGGCGTTGATTGCATAATGATGAATTAATTGTAAGGATATAATTTTGAAAGACTAGAACTTGTGACATGGAGAAAAGATGTGTAAATTTATTAGGTCAGACATATTTGGACTTACTAAGCTTTGGTTTCTTCCTACTATTTGTAACTGGATTTGAAAGTATTGTTTTTATATCTATTATAATTATGTTTTTTTTTTGTTTTCTTCTATTTTTTTTCTCTGATGTATACATGTTTTAAAAATGAAGATTTAACTTAAGTTCAAGTTCCAGTGATAGTTTTTTTACGGTGTACAGAGTTTTACTATTTGTCTGGAACAAATGGTAAAACTTTTTTTTGCCATCTTGCCTTATTTCTCCTCTTTCCATTTGTGGCTGAATCCCAAACTACAAACATGACACATTATGTTTTCTTTTTTTTAAATAATGGCTTATGTCTTGGCACTCTTCCCTATAATCCAGATTTGTGGAATGCACATCTAATAATTATCCAGTCCACAGATTATCCTATCAGGGTTGTGGATTTCTGGATCTTCTCCAGAGCTGCTATGAGCCTCTTGGCTGCTGCTCTGATTATTGTTTCTTTGCCAGGCCTGTCAGCCTAGGTGAATGACCGCGTCTCGGAAAGTTTGCAGCTGTGCCCTGAACTGAGGTCTGCGAGATATTAAAAGACACGAGGACACTGTGTAATTACCTCAACCTGGCATAAACATTGCTACATTTTTCTCTCTGACCTGTGTTGTTCTCCATGACGCTGTTGGTTCACTGATGTTCTCTAACAAATCTCTTTGCTAAATTTAAACTAAGTTTAAACATGTACTGTAACTCTCTGAAGACAAGGAGTTGCAATAGATTTATTTAGAAGTACCAGATGTCGCACTTTCAGAGTTTTATTTGTAAAAATGTGGATAACCGCGTGTCCCTTCATTTTGTGTTGCTCTAGCACACATAATCCCAATAAAAGAAATTAAGTTTGTTGCAGCTGCAATGTGACAAAAATGATTAAAAGTCCAATTTGAATGCATTTCCATTTGCACTTTTTCTGAGCATGTTTGTGCACAATATTTGTTTCAGATGAAGGCAGAGGAGCTGATGTGTACACAGTGAAGCTGTTTATCAGATGTGATACAGTTTCCTCTTTATCTTCGTTAATTGGCTCATGCAGCAGCGCATCCTGCTGGAATAAGATTGACTATAATCATTAGGTAGAGAAAAAAAAAAGAAAAACGAAGGACTGTTTAATTAAAATTCTCAGCAGACATCAGGTAGATGTGTTGGTGCATGCAAACAACGGAAACCCACAGGCTTGCTTCAGTCAATCTGTAATTGTATGAACAGCTGACTCACGTCTCAGCGGTTGCCATGAGTAAAGGTTGCTAAGCAGGCTGATGTTCGGATTCTCCCCAGAGAAAGTTCCCACATCCTCTGGACCATTAGCATCACTTTATAATTGGACTCAAACAGGAGGTGCACACACACACTTACACACGTAGAAGCAACTCTTCCCTCCTTTTTTTTTTTTGTTCATTTCCAATCTTTGGTAATCTGAGAAAGGATTGGTGCTTTGTTTGCGTTTTGCTGTTATGGTCTCATCCAGGCTTTCTGAGGTGAAAAGAGGCAAGATTCATCTGTATTTTGACAAAATTGAGAATGCTTCCTGGCACCAATTCCTTAAACCACAGGTGTCAAACTCGAGGCCCGTGGGCCAAATCCGGCCCGCCTTAGCTTCTTATGTGGCCCTCTAGATTCTAGACTAAAGACAAAATGCATCAATGCAGCTTTTATCTGTTTGCTGCCAAATTATATCAATGAGTCCCTACGGTTTCTTGAGAATTATCGTGAAAATTTACACAAAATCAACAACTTGTGCTAACAATCTAGAGTTTAGTGCAGTTTCTTTTCAAAGATTGTCAAAAACTTTCTTACTTGTACTAAACAGCTGCCTCAGCCTTAACTGATGTCAGATTATAGCCCATGATCTATACAAGGAGTAATAAAAGTTGCATTTACCATCACAAATATTTCCAAATTAATACGGCAAACACTTTGATTTTTATTGCAAAAAAAACAAACAAAAAAAAAAATCACAAAATCCTGGAGGGACTGAAAAGATGTTCAATAATATTTAATCTAAAGGATTCATTGATATTTTAACAGTTTGTGAACAGGTTGCATCAATAAATCCTGGCAAAATTGGCCCTTTAAGAGCATCCAGGATCTGGATTTGGCTCAAAACGAAAAAGAGTTTGACACCCCTGCCTTAAAATAATGAACTCATTGCGTTTGTGTCCCCTCCTTTCTCTCAGAACGACACATGGGGTGTCCAGTACTCCTACGCTCTGTTCAAAGCCATGAGCCACATGTTGTGTATCGGGTATGGCGCCCAGGCTCCCGAGGGGATGACTGATGTGTGGCTCACCATGCTCAGTATGATCGTTGGCGCCACCTGCTACGCCATGTTCATCGGCCACGCCACCGCCCTCATACAGTCGCTGGACTCGTCTCGGCGACAGTATCAGGAAAAGGTGAAACATGACTGTCATCCATCTGCTGCTACACACCTGTTTAAATATTTATGAGATATATTTGGCACGATCTGCTCAATTTGCTTCTCTGCAACTGACCCGGAGTTACATTTTTAGGCCATCATGTGTGGCATAATCATGGCAAACAGGATGTTGTATTTTGCTCATTTTTATTTCAGGAAGCAATTGACATATTTAAATTTGAATATAAGTCTACTTTTTTTTTTCAAAATTTTAATTATTTAAACATTATTTTAGTGGCTGCTCTGCTGTTTCCTGTCTGTAAGAAAAAACATTCACTGATAAAAGATTGAGTGTAAAATTTTATTACACAAACTCATTTTTTAGCACTTCTCTTTAATCTTTAATGATTTTGTAAAATGCTCAATGTTCATGTAGTTTATTATGCCTCTGGGAATATTTGAAGCCCATAATTTATGGGAATATATAGTTTTTTATGTTAATTATTCTAAAATTTGTGAATGGAAACTAAGTAAATTTAGAATTTACTTACTTACATCTAATTTCCACAGTCAGTCATGTCTTATTTAAAGTCACAGGTTTAGACTGATCAGCATCTCACAACAGAGAGGTAACACTGGTGGCTTTCATTTGCTTGATTGAAAAGCAAGAGGAGCTTTATTATTGTTAAATTCAGATATGCTTTTTGAATCTAGAAAATCTTATGTTGCTTAGTAGAAAAAGTCAAAGCATTTGACTTTTTCTATGCTTGCTTTTTGCATCTTTTCATCTCACCTGCAGCAGCAATGATGTTTGAAATTCTAGCTATTGGCTTACAAGTTAATTCCTCCACTTAGTTAATGGAAGTTTTAGCAAAAAGCTCAGGTTTAACTGTTTAATTGTCATAATAAATCAATTAATCGCATGATAAATTAAAACAAACTCAATAATTTCCATTGGGATGATTTATCGTTTATCTCTGTTTTCTGTCTTTCTACCAAAAACTAGATGATAAAAGTCTTCAGTTTGGTGCTTTGGTCTCGACTCGCCCCTTTTTGAAAAACAATTTTGTTTACAAAGGCTTCAAAATTCATTTTATTTGTTGTTTTGTTTATTTATCTTGGATATTTAAAATCTCTTCCAGTTCCATTGCTAAATGAAAGTTTACTGATATTTGAGATTGAGAATGTGTTCTTGCCTTATTATTATGCTATTACCACTATATTATTCAAATATGATCTCAAAACAACAAAATTATCGTTTATCACAATAATTTCTGGTACAATTTATCAGCCAGCAAAGTTTATCGTGACAGACTTAATGTCAAATTCAGATGGTTAATCTGTTAGCTTTGGGGGCCTTTAACTTTATCACATATTTAAACACATCAAACAGCCTTTCTATGCAGTCAGGCTTATACCCCAACACACAATTTAATTTCTTTAAGGTTATAGCATTTCAGCAACAAAGTTTGTTGATATAATTCCTCTATAACTGAACGCACCTAAAAGTAATTTTTAACAGGCCAAAATACACAATAAGAAATATTACCCAGTAACCGAACTCCTCTTATAACCATTTTTGTTTTTATTCGACTCAATGCAGTGACAGTTTGTTTGCACTTTGCTCATATAAAATGGAGTAAAAATTTATCAAATGTGATTTGGTTTGTTATTTCGAAATTTAGTCATTCTGCGAGTTCAGTACATTTGCTCTTTCCTACACAGCCTCCTGTTTTGGTTTGAGAGTCCCAGTTTGGCCTCATCGGCTTACAGAAACAAAGACTTACTGTGAATTTATTATTTTTAGCTTCCACTTATTAGACCCTCCAGATTCATCTACATCACTATGGTTTCCCCTTTAAACTTCAACTAAACCACAGTCTCAAGGTGTGGTGGTTTGTCATGAAATTAATCAGGGATTTTATGATTAGTTGTTTAGTTTTGTGGAGCTCCATAAAGCAGCTAATTTCACTCAATAAGCGGTTGCTTTCCTGCGAAAATGACCTCTCGAAGTGAATGTTTTTCTTTTGTAACTGCAGTACAAGCAGGTGGAGCAGTACATGTCCTTCAACAAGCTTCCTGCCGATCTGCGGCAGAAGATCCACGAGTATTACGAGCATCGCTTCCAGGGTAAAATGTTCGATGAGGAGAACATTCTGGGAGAGCTCAGTGAGCCACTGAAAGAGGTGATGAATTCATGAACGCCCACTTGGTTTGTTCCTGCCTCCAGCGCATCGTGTTGACTTTCAATCTCTTCTTATTTTCATTTAGGAGATTGTCAGCTTCAACTGCAGCAGCCTGGTGGCAAACATGCCGCTGTTTGCCAACGCCGATCCCAACTTTGTGACCGCAGTGCTGACCAAGCTCCGATTTGAGGTGTTTCAGCCAGCTGACTTCATCATCCGTGAAGGAACCGTTGGTCGTAAGATGTACTTCATCCAGCATGGACGGGTCAGCGTACTGACCAGAGGCAACAAGGAAACCAAACTGAGTGATGGGTCCTACTTTGGGGGTGAGGACTTTGTTTTCGTACAAAATAAATGCTTGTTTTAGCTGTTTTATGAATTCACTTGCATTCCTTTCTTCTTCAGAGATCTGCTTGCTTACTCGTGGACGAAGAACAGCCAGCGTCCGCGCAGACACATACTGTCGCTTGTACTCTCTCAGTGTGGACAGCTTTAACGAGGTTCTGGAGGAACACCCAATGATGCGACGAGCCTTTGAAACGGTCGCTGTTGACCGTTTGGACCGCATTGGTAATTTCTGATTTTTCTGGTTGCTATTTCTCTTTTCACTCTTCTAAATAATGCAATTATCAATCTGTGTTCTTGAATTTACCAGGCTCTTTCATGATTGTCATCAAATGGGTTAAAAAGAAGGATCACTGAAGACAAAAGCAAATTAGCTTGTTCACCTTGGATCTCTCTATTAGAGTGGTTTATACCCTGGTTAATTTCAATAGCACCTTTTTCACCTGTGAGAAATAGCAATTATATAGAGCACAAAAGTCTTCAGAGCCTTCAGAGGCATAAGAAATGCTAAAAACAGTTTGTGTTTTTAGCACAGTTAAGGTGCTTAACCACGGTTAAGGTCGTAAAAAATGAGACAGATCAGTAAATTTGGTGGTTTTACTCCTCTACAGGTAGGAAGAACTCTATGCTCCTGCGAAAGTCGTCCCAAGGTGGTTCTCTCGGCGGGAGTATGGGTCGTGGCGGAGGCCGTAGTGGAGGCGGTTCTGGAGCTGGCCTTGCAGCAAGTGGTCTGGGCTCCTGCGACAGCATGCTGGTGCAGCAGATTGTGAAGCATGACAGCATGCCAGCCATGCAGGACACCATCGCAGCTGCTGCCGCAGGAAGGAGCGGGATAATTGGAGGAAGTGGCACGGTGTCCCCTCGTCCCCGCCCTGTCATCTGGGCACCGCTTGTCCATGCTCCCCTGCAGACGGCTGCTGCAACCAGTAATGTAGCCATCGCTCTTATGCACCAGCAGCAGCAGCAACAGCAGCAGCTTCAGCAGCTGCAGCAGCATGCTCTTGGAGCCGGTTTCTTCTTGCCGTCTCCTATGATTTCTCCTTCACCCTCATCCACTTTTCCTCTTTCTCCTCCCCGCGCTCCTGTGCTGCAGCCCCTTCGCCCTTCAGTGAGCTCTCTTATTGGGATGATGGCAATGGGAGGAATGAGTGGCTTCTCCCCAAGAGGATTTCCACTCTCACCCTCAACTATGGGTCCTCCAGGTGGGGTAACATCACCTCCAGTTGCCAAAACACCACCCACTTCAGCTTCTTCTGGACCAACTTCTGTTCAGCAAGGACGGACGGTTATCTATGGTCCCCGTTTTCAGGCTGATCACCCCTCAGTTGGAGCTGGGGCACTTGTAACACCACCGGCAGGAGTTCCAGGCTCACCACTACACAAGGTACCACCCACCAACCCACCTGCATCCTCCAGTGGCCCATCGGATGGAATCAGCTGTCAGCAGGGTGCCAAAGAGGCTCTTCTACGTCATGGGGTGAGCAGTTGTCAGGGTCTGCCAGCACTGGGGAGGCTAACCCAAGAGGCAAGGCTCCTGTCAGCTTCGCAGCCCACTCTTCCTCACCGCTCCTGGGCCGCTGTGCAACCTCATCCTCCTCTCCATCGGAAGGCCTCTGGAGGGAATTTGTTGGCGGCTCCTTTCCTGGCAGGACAGCTGGCAAGAGGTAGCAGTGCAGGCATGTTGACCAATAACCCTACACTACAGCTGGTGACAAACATACCATTGAATGCCCAAGTACAGGCCGCAGGTCCTATTCAGCCGGCTGTGCCACAGGCAATCCCTGCAAACACAGCCTCTGTGCCCACAGCTGCACACATCCCCTCTACACCTTTCTTGCCGTCTTCTTCCCCTCCAAAGCAGACCTCTCTCTCCTCTGTTACCCCGTCACCTACTCCTTCTTCTCCGACACCTATTCTTACCCAAACACCTCGACCAAAGCCGATTCCTTCGACATTGTCCTGCTGCTCCTCCCCACCCTCAGCAAGTCCGTTGTCCACACCCCGACCCAAACCGGTTCCTACACCGTCTCCCCGCTCTTCCTCTCCCTCTCCATCCTCCACACCTCCTCCCTCAGCTGTTTCTACCCCAGTTCCTCTGGCTCAACCTTATGGGCCCAGATCATCACTTACATCTTCATCTCCCCCATCCTCTGTGCTCTCCTCTTCTCCACCACATCCCCAGAGCCCCAGAGCCAAAGCATCCAACACACTTCCTTCTGCCTCTCCGCTGTCTGGCCACAGCCCTACCTTGACCCCAACTGTGTCACCAATACCCACTCCCACTCAGACAACCCGCACCCGACCTTCTACTCCTACTCAGACACTTCCTCCTACATCGTCCCCGTCTCCTTCTGGGCCCTCCTTTAGTAAGTCCCAGAGCCCCACACCTTGCCTCCAGCCCTCCGTCTCTGGCTCACCCAGGGTTTCTGCCTCAAGCAAGACCCCAAAGCAGACTTCCCCTCTCAACCCCATTCAGTCATCAGCCCCAGCCTCAACACCTCTTATTACAAACTCTCCAACAAAAGTCACTTTCTCAGTTCATCCTGTGAAGCAAACCTCTCCTGTCCTTTCTCATAGTCCTACTTCAGGCTCCAAACAAAGCCCTTCAACGACATCATCCTCAGCAACTTCATGTCCCAGCCAAAGCTCCTCAAACCCTTCCTCCATTTCTACCAATTCCTCCACCACCACAGCCTCTCATCAACAAGCTTCCACCGCTGCAGCCAACCAGACAGCACACACACCCACCTCGCCAAAAGGGGGGAAGAAAGACCCTCAGCTGGCAGTCACCAGAACAGACTCGGAGGGACTAAGGCACAAACTGCCTGCTAACATGTAAGAGGAGGAAAAATATTTCATTGACTTTTTGTGCTGCAACCAGTGCTAAATACCAGAGCCATGGATGTGCAGACTTGAGTCAAACTTGCCACCAGGTAGCCCATGATCTCACATGAACAGTTCATACATGTTGAATTTACTCTAGGATGTGGTTGACTTAGAATATCAGGTCTTCATGGGACTTTCAGCAAAGCCATCGATTGGGAAGGACTTCATGGGAGCAACCAGTGGGTCTTACTCGCTAAGAGGAGCGTCTACTGAACATCCAAATGTATAAATTCGTGTCTGTGTTAGTGACTGTTGGAGCAAGCAGGTAAGCGGAAGTGGAAATACGTTGCACTGTATTTACGGAGTGGATGAGGGTAGGCATGGGCAGGTCAGAGTACCCTGAGGTTTTAATCAGGCACTTCTTAAAAAAATATTTTATCCCTTGTCCAGCTGTTGCTGCTGAACAGCTGGCTGAAAGCTGCTGCATCTTTTTTTTTTTTTACCAAGAAAGACAAATCCTGTTGCTTAAAAATGAAAGAGGTGCCACCTATCAGTCTTATTGAGGTAACTGTTTAACAACAATAGTTGGTATGCTACATGATAATCAACTCCATGTCCTATTTGAACAAATAGCTTGATTAATCAATCAGACCACAATTATTTATACCTCTGGCAGACTTAGATTTAAAATACCCGTTTGCTTTTATCAGAAACCAGTGGAAATGTGTAGAAAGTTGGTCAGCAGTTACAAGAAATATCTGATGGCTGCCATACCTATTCAGGCTTTTCCATTCGTTATTGACAAAGGGTTGAATAATTTTCAATATGCCTTTTTTTTGATAAAATGAAAATAAAGACAGAAATGTTGTCTTTTTAAATAATTATACTCTTTTAATCTTTTGTCATGTTCCCTATCAAAAATAAAATTCTTGTTTGAATGAAAATAACCGTAAACCTAAATAGTAAAAGGGGAGAATGAACTATATGTTTCTCTACAGAGAAAAATAAATAAATGAAGAGCAATTACATTTACTTAGCACCTAACAATAAATTAAACAGTTTTTATTATAGAATTTTACTTTGGCGTTTCAAAATAAATATACTGCCAAGTAAATGTTATAAAAATCTATGTTATAAATCAGTATTGTTTTGTTATTATTATTTTTATGTTATCTTATTTATTTAAATGAAAGCAATTGGATCATGGAGGGCATATTTAATTTTTTAAAAAGTGGTATTTTAACACAAATTTTCCATTAAAATCTCAAACCAGCCCATGCCAACTCAGCAGGGTTATTTACAGCAATATTTATTAACAGTTCCACTCATTGGTAACAAGAAATCTTCTTTGCAGTGACTGTAAATGTGAGAAAATGATCATTTTATTGCTGTTGGGGTGAAAGGTCACTGTGATAGAGCAGCAGACACTCCTTGGTTTCCAGCTCCAACTCCCTCTCGCTTACCATTCTTCACCAAAATGTAATATTTTCTCATCGGAATGAAAAGAAAACAACTTTACTGAAACTCACTGTAAACTTGATGCTCATATGAATTTGAATAATTAGGAGCAGTACACTGGTAGTTTTGTTGTCCCTGGTGTGTGTGGTGTTTAGTTTTTGAACAATACGAAATCCTAAAAACCTACATGTTCACGCTGACAGCTTCTGTAAAACTGTGCTTTTTTTCTATGTGCGCGACGCAACGCTGCTCTGCTGTGCACCGAGGCTCAGATGATTTTGTTCCACCCGGCTTCCTGTAGTGTGGGTCTGTTGTGCGCTTCCTCACCGTCGGCCCCTTTGTCTTTCATCTTCTGTCTGTCTCGCTGCCTTTCATCTGATTTTACAGCTCTGGTTGCTAACAGTTCCTTTGACGCTCGCAAACTCCCTCTCCCTCTTTCTCTTGGTTTGCCCAACACTTTGCTCGCCACTGCCGTCGGCCTCGTCTTCAGTTGGCGGCGCCCTCCTTATGTCGCCGTGTGACACTGTTTCAGCACCGTTTCCAGTGATGTTTGATGTTTTCTGTGGGTAGCAACAAGACATTTCAATCTTGACCCTTGATACCATGTTGCCTAGACTATATATGTATATATATTTAAGGACCAAATGTTTTATTTTTATTTATCACAGCTTTAGCTTTTGAAAAGAAAAAGTAGCAAACGATGCTGCCAAATGAACATGTTGAGTGTGGCTCTAAGGATGATGGTAATGTGTGTAATGATGATGAGGAGAAGTTGCTGCTGGTGTACATCTGGATGTAAGAATAAAACAGATTTAGTATCAACTTGCGTTCCCCTGTATTCTCATTCCCAAGCTCAGAGCCGTTTAGATTTTCAAACTAAACATTTGGTTTTTTCACCACAAACAAATCAAAAAGGACAAAACATGAAACAATGAACACGTATTGTAAAATGTCATGAGTTCGGAAAAGGATAAGTATTTTAAAAGCTGCTTTATGCATTGGAATGTTTCAGAACCAGTGAAACCTAGTCAGATTTGGAGGTTTTCCTTTTTGATCAAATTTTCTAAAGTTTATGGTTTCCACTCAAAAACATTAAGCTTGTTATGTTTAAGTCACTTTCTTTTAATATGTCTTTACACTTCAACGACGCCGCCGTTCCAAATGCAACATCAACCTCCAGATAGCAGTTGACTCTTTTGTTTTTCTTTATTTTAAATCTTAATAAAACAATTGCTCTGATTGATCAACATTGTTTAAAATTGCAAACTGCAGCCAGAGTTGCTATATTTGTTGCAGAAAAGTGTTCAGTTGTTTGATCTCATTTCAGATTAACGTGTCATTCTTGGATATTTAAGTATCTTTAAAAAGGTCGTTTTTGATGAGGCTTAGATGGCTAAAAGAGTTTAACTTCAGATAAATCTATTTTTTAAAAAAAGCAGCCTACTTAATAAACTTGCAGAGTGCGTTCTTCACTCAGGCTAAAGTGTGAAAGCGCCTGCAAAGAACACAAATTACCATAAGCAGAGGTGAAAACAACTGTAACACTGTTCTTCCTGCTAATTTACAAGCTATCACTTCCACTGTAGCGCAGGTGTCTGCTACAGGAAGTCAGAGAAGGAGAAACTCAAAACTCTAAAAAGCTCTAAAAGTCCACTTTGAGGAAATTTATAGTTGTAAGCACCATTCAGCTCATACTACACATATTTGCTCTCATGCCGTCCCCACAACCCTAATTAATCCTGTCAGGATACAGGCAACATTTCCAGGTGTTAAATTAGTTTTTGCTTTTTACATGTGTGAAAAGGAATGGACCGGCAGTGTTTAATGATAATCCTGTAAATCAGCATCCATACATAAGCAGCTGTTTTGACACATGATCAATACAGTGAGTAGTTTTCAGGGTGTTGCTGAGGACGTGGCTTTAATTTTAACATTATTTGTCAGCATGGTAAAGGTTACTTCAATCGTGACTCATATGCAGTTGAATAAGTCATTTGATATTACTCACCCATGAAATAAAAGCTAGGTTATCACGTTTATCTCTCAGACATATTAACAACCCTCAGTCTTTTCAGTAAAACACAATGTAGAGTCATATTTCTAAGGGAGCAATGTAAGGGTTTCAGAAAAATACTGGTAATTCGTGAATTTCCAAGGACACTGTGAAAAACATTCTGCTTTATATCTGCACAGCTCAAGGGTATCTGATCTGAAACCAAACAAGCACCTTCTTAGATTCTCCACATTTCAGATTCTGTTCAGTTAGAGTTTCTAAATATTTCATCGAATCTCCCGTATGCTGCAACAGAGAAAAATATAAAATACAACCCGCCCTCTGCCACAAAACCTCCATTTCAATTAATCAAAATAACACAAAAATTGGTTAAAATGTAGAGAGAGAATTCTTTGACGATTTAAGCTGAAGTACACATTGAGTGAAAACTACCCGTCACCACGACCTTTGGTTTCCCTAAAATTACCCAATGATTACACATTTTCACTTCATTTCCTCTGCGTCGTCAGGGTGGATTCACATGGAGTACCACTTCAAACTTGAGTGTGACCCTTGTGACTCTGATCTTTGAGAAACTGAGGCTGTGACTCAGCCTCACCAATGTGCGATAAAACAACTTCCAGTGTGCATTAACGAAAACCCTCCGCAGATTGTCATGATGCTCTTTCTCCTGGAACCTTAATCCTTCTCCTCCCAGCAGAGACCAGACTCATTCAGATTCAAGGTTAAATTTGGGAACCTTGAAGGTTTGTTTGAATCCCAGCCTTCGATTTGTAGAGACATACCTGCTTCTCCTTCGTTTGCGATGCCACTGTTTCACATTTGTTCTCTCTCTGCTCTCATTAGTAGTCAGGGAGTCTGCAGCAGCTTCTCGTCATGCTTGAAACTACTGATTACAAATTCATGTACAGTAAAGTAGCTGTAGAAAAAATTGCTGTATGAATACCACTGCAGTTTATTTACAGACACAATCTGTGATGCTGAATTTTCATTCAGAAACCCTCATCTAATCTCATTTTGAATGCCTTTAATACATGGAAAATCAATAGAATTGCAGATACTGAAGGCAGATTTGTTGGTATGAAATGTAATAACTTCTGTAATTTCAGATGTATGAGAAAAATTATGCTTAGCTTGATAAAAATCTTGATAAAAGTCAATACAGGGCAAATATAAAGTATTTGCCCTTCTATTGTGAGACAGTAGAGCTGAATTTCATAAAGAGGTTTATTCTGTATCTGCTGAAGTTACTGGCAAAAATTGTGATATTTTCATTTTCTTCTCAGATCTGGAAAATATTGACATGAAATTTCTTCCCACTTTTCCAGGCACCGTAAAATCACTTGTTCCTTCAAAAGGTACTGCCTACAAAATGTTACGTTAAGGCCACAATCATTTTTGTACTTACATTGCTTGAATTATTCACATGAATTAAATAAAACCAAATTGTAATTGGTGTTAAATTTGGAACAGTCAAGGATGCTGTTAAACTTTTGCAAATTGAGTGTAGATGTTAATATTTATATTTTTTATTAGTTTTTTTAACCTTCAGGAAAATCTGAGTTGTAGATTTCACAGTGACCACTAGATGGCGGAAGTGCTTTAAAAATCATTCACACACAACCGGAAGGAGAAAGATGAATTAAAAGTGCCGTTTTATTGCTTTAAACCAACTTTATCGTAACAGGAGAGAAACAAATACTTTTAGAGAAATTCTACTTTGTGAACTGAATATTAGAGGCCACCGTGAAGTACAAATAACGCACTGCAGAGGTTAATGTTGCCAGAAGTAGCCTGGATCTGCAACCACGAATAGAGGTGGTGTGCAGAAAAACAGGCCTTGTAATTGCTGCCTGTCATTTTGGCTCTGAAATAGACTCAAAGAGAAGTCTTTATCCTCTGGAAACAAACTAGACCACCAGGCAGAAGACAAATAATGACTGTTTTCATCCTTTGCTGTACCACAGTGTTGTAATGTAGACATTTATAGAGAGAGAGAGAGTAAAAGCAGCAGTCAATCCACAAACAGACGGCGGCGGGATCCTTCCTGCTCTGCTTTAAAACAGGTTGCATTTGCTGCTGCAAGTTCAACCACAGGCTGAGGGTAACTCCTCCAGACTGAGTCGGCTGAGAGGCTTTACAGGCTTTACAAATTTCACAACAGATCAGGTATCACAACACAGAATAACGGTTAAGGAACATATTCGTATGTTTTGAGTTGCAAATTGCATCTATTTCTAAATGAAAATTAAATTAATGAAGAAAAAAGCTTAGATAAAGTTTCTTGAGGTTAATTGTACCACATGTTTGTTGAATTGAGGACAATAAACCTTTCTTTTTCAGCTGTGGGTTTGTAAATTGGTGCATTGCTCTCAATAAAATCATGGCTGAGAAGCAGGTAAATAACGTCTTTAGCTCTGGGTTAAAACTACGAAATAATAATTTATATTTGTGGATTTCAATAGCTTTCCAGGATCTGTTATATTTGTAATTTGTACAGATTTTAAAGACAAACTTGTCACTTTTATTGCCCTTTGCATTACAGAGATAAATAGTCTATTTTTTCTGTTCTACAGCAAACCAGCATAGATAGACACTTAGATCACTGTTTTAATAAATTGTTAAGAGGTATTAATTTTATCACTGTGGAGATTGTATATGTCATTCACATGCACAGTCTATGATATTATAATAGAAATCAATCCTTTTTGAACAATCCAGGATGTGAATGGTGATAAAACACAAGTTAATGCAGTTTTTATTATTTTAAAGCACTGTGATTGGTGAGCTCCCGTCCTTTTAAGAGTCCTGACCCCTGCTGCGCACCTCACTGGAAAAAATGTACATCGATGACGTATATTGTTCACATACATGTGCCGTGTAACTTTTTGTTCTGGTAGCACAACCGCAAGCACAGATTTAGGGTTTGGGGGGGTGGTAATACAGGTGGGCTGTCTGAGTTCACCGCAAAATTATATTTAGACTTCCTGCACCCTCGATACAAAACCCACCAACTCACACACACACACACACACACACACACACACACACTGCAGGAGCTACATGACAGTAGATGAGAATGAGATTCAGGCTTTGAGAAAGCAAGGTGATTCCCATCCCCATAACCACTTCAAAAACAAACGAGTCTTCAAAGTTCTTCAGCAGGGGAACAAGGCTGCTTTTTAGTTACATTTAAAGACCAAACAGATGCGTCTAGGGAGGGAGTGTGGGAAGGCGGCGCTACTGCTGGTTTGGTACTTAGGTTACAAATTTTAAAAGACAGTTTTTAAAATGTCTAAAAATCAAGGCAAAACCTTTGCGGTTCATCCCTGTAGCGTCGCATAGGGGCTTGAGCCTGTCTCCATGGTAATTTGTGAAGAGGCGGTGAACACCTTGAATGGGCTGCTAGTATACGTACACACACACACACACACACACACACACACACACACACACACACACCTAAAAGGCAATTTACAGAGATCAATTAAGAGAAAAGTCACGCATCCAAATGGAGCAGACGTGAAACTAGTTACATTTAGTTGAGTAATTCTGAAAAAAGTGCTTCTGGAAGTAGTTTTTTTGCATCATATATTAGTTGTACTTTAGAAATATTACTTTGGAGTAACTCTGAAGTTTTGGCACCTCTCACAAGGAGAACAGGCAAACTGCATTCAGAAAGAAGTCACAATGTAACCCTGCAAAACGTTTCTATTTGTATACAACTGGGAATCACCAGTGAGCACATATTGATCATGTTTTACAGCTAATTAGATGTTAGAAACCTCTCAGGTAGAAGCTGAAACACACTGAATCAGATGATCAAAACAGAACTCACTGAAGAAATTAACCAATTTACTGCAGGTTATCCTCTTGAATCATTGCTTCAGTCAGAATAATTAAAGTTACTCAAACAAGGAAGTCTTCTGCTGTAATGATTTTGACAAGGAAATTATGAAATAATATGCATCTTACACCAAATTTATTTAAAAATGGATAGCCACATTTTTTCATATAAATAAAAATCTGAAAACTGTAGTGTTCATTTGTTCTCAACCCCTTTTATTCAAATATCCCTCAATAAAATGCAGTGCAACAAATTATCTTCAAAAGTAGCCAAATTAGAGTGTGGAAACCTTGCACACCTGCTCCGTGAAAGCAACAGGTGTTTGTTAGAGAACAATAGTTCACTGTGACGAAACATCCCAGGTACAATCTGTCCTCAAGACCGGGACCAGTTACGCTCTCCACAGATCTCAACTTTATGAATAGAAAGTAATTCCTGAAAATACATAATTTTCCACAAGCTATGCAAGGGACACAGCAAAACTGAACTTATTAACCTAAATGCAAAACAAACAACACTGCACACTAAACACACCACGCTTTTCAAGACAGTGAAGCTGACTGGAGGTGACTGGAGGTAAATAAAGAACAATCCTGGAAAACAGTCAGACAAATACAGGTCTGGAAAAAATTAAAAGAACATTTAAAATGATCAGTTTCTCTGATTTTACCTTTTGTAGGTATATGTCTGAGAAAAATTAACATTGTTCTTTTATTCTATGAACTATTGACAACATGACTCCGAAATGCCAAGCAGAAATGTAGTTTTTATCTGCAGAAGATGAGAAATGGTCATAATAACAAAAAAAGATGCTGTGCTTTCTGACCTCAAATAATGCAAAGAAACAATACTCATGCTTTAAGTCAGGAAGAGTTAAGAAATCAATATTCGGTGGAATAACTAGGAGGTTTCAATGGGGTTCAGTGCAGTGGACTCTTCATTTTTTTGCTTCTTTTGCTATATGCAAATGAGAAGTCTCAATTTTATGCAAATGTAATGAACAATAAAAACATCTTGTAATAGATGTGACTCTCTCAGCACTCTGTTGTTTCCTTTTTTTAAGTGATTCATAAAAAAGTCATTCTAAAAAAGTCCCTACTGTTGCCCTTTGAGCCTCCACACTGGATATGATACATCCTCTGTGCGAGTTTCATTTATCACGGTACAGTTTCCTTTTTACTTGACTGATCTGCAAGGCGCATGGAGCTCTAACTCTCTATCCATGGTCACCGCCAGATGGTTTCTGGGTCGGGAAACAGCTGAGTCATGAGTTTATTAATTCTGTTTCGACTGAAAATGCTTTTGCATCTGACAGGTAAGCTGGTGGCAGATATCCCTCAATCCGCTTTCACTGCCCACCTCTGCGCGGATATGCCCAGAGTAGGAGGAGGAGGAGCCCACCTCTCTCCGACAGGCACCGCTTCGGTCCTATCGGACCTCGGCCGGACCCCTCCCCGTGTGCCCTGCCCACCCCGGCGGTCTCCTCTCCCAGCCCTGCCAGAGCCAATCCGGCGACCGGGTGTAATAAGTAGGACAAGCCGCTTCCTGGTTCTCAGAAAGGAGGAGCTGGGAGACGGAGTGGGCGAGCGGAGGCAGAGCACCGTGGGGGGGTCAGAGCGCCAGAGAGCCGGCGGTCCGCAGAGACAGCAGGACAGGAGGCAAGAGAGAGGACATTTGGGGAGGAATAAAGCCCCTACCGTGCGCTGAAGCGAGGACGGAGTCTACATTTAAGAAGACAAGCGCTGGGAGGATTTAAAAAAGGGGAATTTAAAGCTCTAAGAAGTCGTCAGGGTGGGACGGAATAATCCAGGAAGTGTCGGTCAGGTGGGAGGCGACGAGTTGGGGACAGGTGACACACCGGCACTCAGGTAACCGCTTCTCCTGGTTCCTCTCGAAATGACATACAACTACAAAACATAATAATTAAAAATGAGTTATTAGTCCGCTTTAGTCGTAGCGAGAATAAACCTCCCACTTCTTCTTTAGCAAGGTGACAGAAGTAACTGCTCTTCTCACCGACAAATTCTCTGTCGACATCATTTTCTTCTTTTTCACCTTTTAAACTAAAGGAAATGAAATATTTCTGCCGGTGAGGCTGTGGGAGATGAGCGCTTCGCGTTCAGGTGAGACAGGGAGAGGAGCGGGGTCGGCGGGGACATTTCTGAACACCGGGCTGCTAATTATAGCCGAGAACACCGGCTGACATCCAAAACCTAACCTGCTCTCACGCACATCCACCTGGACGCGCGCAGTCCACTAGATATGTATGGCAAAACATTAGTGGCAAATGTTGGCGCTTTTCCAGGAAGGGAAATGATGCATACATATATTTTAAAACCTGTTCTTTGTAACATTTTGATGCTTTTTTTTTTACCCTGTCATTGAATGACTTTTTAAACCTCGGCTTACACCACTTTACCTGCTGTTTCTGAACTGCATAAAAGTGGTGTTCAATAATGAACTTGAACAACTTTTAATAAGTCAAGATGCTGTAATAGTTGATGGATTTCCCACCTGAAAACCCTCCAGAATGCCCTGTTTTTTTCCCCCAGCACATGATGCTTTGAACACCTGTTATGACTGGCAAAAGACATGTTTTATATGGTTATTGAATTCCTGCTTATAAGCCAAACGTCGATTAAGTCTAGATGGTTTAAAAGTCATCCGAGATCTCATCAGAAGAGTTGGGATGCCATAAAAGTTGGTGGGGAAACTTTCTGGGATACAGTATTTTGTGCCAGTGAACGTTATTTTCTAACACCTGTTTATGACTGGTAAAATAACCTGATGTTTTATTTGATCACTGAGGTTCGATTTTACACCGAGCAATGGTTTTTTGTTTTTTTTCTGAACGGTATTCAGTGACCACAAACATGCTGTTATTTCGCATAGTGCATGTAGTTGGAGACCAAACCTAACTCTTTCCGGGTTGAACATAATGTTCTTTCTGGTTGGTTCATGCACAAACCTTTCCAGTTCCCTTCCAGTTTATAAGAAGAATATATAACTTAGTGTAGTTTGTGTTTAAGGTGGAGTAAAGATTAGAAGTTATTAGTTATGAATAGGGAAAAAAAAGACCAAGAACGCTGGAGTCTAACGTAAATTGCTAACTTTGATTGCTAACTTTGCATCATCCAGGTTCCTGCTTCCCTATCAGGACACTTGACCTGAAAACCCGTGTGTGCTGAATTTTATCATCTGCACCTGCCCTTTGCAGTAGACCAGAGATTAATGTGAGCACCACAACAAGACTCCCATTCAAAGGGTGGTGCCAGAGACATTGCCCTTAAAGAAAACCGTGAGTCAGATCATTGGCATTTGAAGAAACAGATTATGATTTCTGTTTTGTAAGAAAGCCATCTCTCAGGGATTTTCTGTCAAAAAAATTGCTTTATTCCTTTATTTCTGATCACAATATACAAGTCGTAAAACTTGTGCATCTCCTAGCAAAGCGCTGTTTTAACTCTTCCAGAATTAATAGAATAGACGTGTGTCTATCTTTGTCCGTGTTGTTTGAATTCATTTATTTAATAACAACTTTTACACAATTTCTTTAGCTGACAGGTTGGCTAATATTTGTCCATATTGGCTTGCCATAGGTCTGCTGGATTTAGCATTCTGTGCCAATAAAAGATCTCCCAACAGTGGTCTGTTAATCATCATCATCATCATCATCATTATCATCATCATCCCCAAGGCGCACCCAGTGTTTTATTTTAATCCTGACCCAATCCTGTGTTACAGCAGCATACATGCTCAGGCTGTAATGTTAGGTTAAGGCTTCTGCCTGCCACACTGGGTGGGGAGAAGACTGTCAAGCCAGTGGGCTTGTGTGTGTATGTGTGTGTGTGTTCATTATAGAGGTAGATGTGTTGCTGACTCGCCCCTCTGACAGACCGGCCTGACTAGCTCAACTCGTTTGGGTTTGGTTTCCTCATCTTGGCCGCAGCCTGTCGTTTAAATCTTTAGGCCTTCATGCTGGGAAATTATCGCTTCCACTTGTGAGTAAAACTGAAATTTGGAAAGGGGGGGGGGGAATAGAAGAAGAAGAAAGAAATCACTATTCATTATCATGTAGCAGAACTTTTCAGAACTGACACACGCTCAGGATTTTGCAACAAATTCTTAACACCGGCTTTGTTAAGCCAGCAAACATTTATGTGCAACCCAACTAGACGGTTGTGTTTCATCCCTCACCTCCGGTGTCCTGATCTGACTCCGTCACGCTTCTCTGTCTGCAGGCCTGCTTGCTTCACACGTTTATTTACACTTTGCTAGGCATTGGCCAAAATGAGACTCTCACTGTATGAAAACCTGGAGAAAACATTAAAGGGTCACTGATCAGAATTGTCTCTTATCTTTGATCTGCATGTCAAATACTGAACAATCTTACTTTTTTGCTGTTCATTAAATGCATAGGAACTAAAAACGCCAACAGAAGTGAGTGAAACATTATGCAGTTTGATAAAAGCAGATCAAGTTTCAATGCACAAATGAACATTACTTCATTTTCTGTTGGATCCCAAACTACTGCCTCCAAGAAAACAGCTGCAGCAAAGTTTTTCCTCTTTCTATATGTCATAGCCCTGAGGAAATCTGAGTTGTCAGATCATGCTGTAAAAAGAAAAAGTTGCCATCAGCCAGGAAAAACTCAATCCTTGCATCAACCAGTAAAATAAAAAAAAAAAACATTTAATTTTACAATTGCACGATTGTGAGGAAAGGCTGATTTGCACCTGCAGCAGTCATTAGGTTGTACAGATGTATGTAGAACATAAGAACAACATTACTCATGTTGCTGCTAAAATAAATTATTAATAATTGCAGTTATATACGGAGCCCCTAAGGGGACATGGAGGAAAAAAACAGGAAAGAAATCCCGACTTATTATCGCGAGATCCCGAGATAATAAGTCGGGATCTCGAGATCTTGACTTAGTTTCTCGGGATCTCGAGATAATAAGTCGGGATCTCGAGATAATAAGTCAGGATCTCGCGATAATAAGTCGGGATTTCTTTCCTTTTTTTTTTTTCCTCCATGTCCCCTTAGGGGCTCCGTAGTTATATGAATGTTATCTTTGACATTCATTATTGTTATTTTAGTTTTGCAACATAGAAACATAGACTAAATGTAACCGGATCTTTTCTGCGTTGTGCTGGTTATTGAGTGATCAGGCCGCGACACGATTCGTCTTTAAAATGGGTGATTTCTCGATTTGTTTTGACGAGAACAAAATGCAGAAAACAACCGTGTTATAGGCTGTCCGCTCCAAGTCCTACACAAAACAAAAGTACAGAACAAAAATTAACTTAATAGATCTATAAATAAACTGAATGTATTTAGATGAAAAATAAACAGCACACACCTCTCCAGCAGGACAACATGACAAAAGGGGAGGGGCTAAGGGGTGTGAACAATTTAAAGACAATACCACAGAAGAAGAAATAAAAAGGAGGGGCTTCCAATCTTAAAGTAACAGGGTTAAAACAATGACAGAGTTGTTTCAGTCAGATAAGGAACAGTACAAATAACCAAAAAAAAATAAAAAATTGTGTAATTATAACAAAAGAGAAATACAACCAGGTTACATAAACAACCAATAAACTCAGCAAAAATGAGTAAAAAGGTTTGGGGCAAAATATAATCCTTTTTTTTATCAATACAAGTGTAACAAGATGATATTAAATTAAATAGACAAATGTTGTTGTGTAACTAGCCTGCAGTTGGCTATTCAAAATTTCTCGCCTCCTTTATTCCATCATCGTTACTACAGTCAATTTACAAAACTCTTAATTTGCACTTTGACCCAGCAGCACTTTGTTGATCCTTTCTAATTCAGGTTGTTTAGATGTGTTTTTATGCGCAACATGTATTTTACTCTGACTTTACTGATATCACGTTTTACTATGCCTGTAAAAACTAATCTCCTCTTTAGTGGAAACTAAAAACTCTTGGAATAAAAAAAGCTTTCTGAATTATAGCTGTTTTGTTAGTTTTTGTACAAAAAACAAACAGAATTACTGTAATTTGAGTGGAGCTCCTTTAGTTTCCACACAATGACGTTCTGTCTTGTTCCAAGTAGCTGAATTTGTTGTTTTTTGTGAGTGAGAAAAGAGTGCAGCGGCCCTCTTCAGGCAGTTAATTGGCAATAACAAGCGAGGGAGGAGCAATGCTGCCGTACTGTATGCTCTGTATAGCCAAAGAAAACCCTTATTCTGCCTTTTTTGCAGTTTTGAAACCATAACTTTTTAGGTCAGTACCCTGCAAGCCTTGATACCAGTAACTGGTCTGTGTCTAATCTGCATAAACGTGCTCGTCTTTCATTTCGATGTTTTCTCAGAGATTTGTAAACATCAGGAAAATATAAATGCTGACCACGGGCCAGCAGTTCGGTGTGGCGTGTAAGAATCGTGTGCGTCTGTGTGGGCTTTCCTGACCCGACCTGCTGCAGGAGGGCTTCTTCGAGAAAGAAGTCAAAAGAGGAAGCAGCCGGTTTCTATCAGTTTTTTCTGTTCTTTGAGAACCACCCTTCATGCTCCAGATTAATGTGATATATCATATGATAGTGTGTGGGTGTGCATGTGAATCTATTTGCATCTTTGCAAACTTCAACATGTTTCATTTCTAGTTTTTGTGACATAATGTCTCCGTTAGGACAGACACTCAACTTCCACCAGTTCTGGATAATCAACATTTGTTATCATTTTCACTTTATTCCTTTTGCTTCCCTGTAGGTTTGTGATCTCTGGCCTCTCGGTGAAGGACAAAGGAGGAAGGGACAGCAGTGTGAGAGACTGACAGCAGGCAGCATCGTCTCCTGGGTTTATGGACTGGAGGTAAGAACGTTTTTAAGGATTTAAATTCTGCCTTTTTGGCAGTTTTTGTAAAACTTTGTCTTTGAGGTTTGGGGACGTTTAATGGGGTAAATATTACTCCCCCCAGGCTTTGAATGAAATATCATACTCATGTTTATAACCTTTCTGACATGACTGCATGGTGGTTTTGTGGCCACATGACACAGCAGGAGTGAAATAAACTTGTGATATGTCAAGGGAGTTAATTTTTTCCAGCACAAAAAGCTTAATTACAACTTGTTTCCACTTTATCGCCTCTGCTTTCTTAAGATAAAGGTGAAGGATACAATAATTGAGGATGTTTTGTGTTTTTTTTCTCTGTGGGGAAAGAAAAATTGCCCAGTGATTCAAACCCAAAAAGCCAAATTCCAAGAAACCTGCCTCCTCCACTGAGGCAGGACTTTTTAAATAATAGGGAACTCCAGTCATTTCCCATTTCTTCTTTTCTTTTCCTTGGAACCAGTTTCTAGTTGATGCTCAGACAGTTTGGTATAACTGGAGTTGAAATGGAGGGATAAACTGTTAAATTTGCGGCTAAATAGAGCTTTCAAGGCTTTTTTTTTTTTACTCACTTGTGGAAAGCCATTACGATCTTTTATGAGCTCAATCTCCACTCACTCGTCCAAAGTTTAATGTTGCAGTTTTGTGGTTATGTCAAATGTACTTTGAATTGTAAACAGTCTGAATATAAGGAAAACTTGGTATTCTCATGCAGTGTCTCATCAAAACCAGCATGTTTTCAGTATGACTGCTGCTGACGGTGTTACTGGGGTAATTAAAAGGCTTTACCTTTTAATTAAAAGGCTTTACCTTTTAATTAAAACATTTATCGTCACTTATCTTCAGCCTGCGCATTCATAAAGTTTTGATTGAAAGCTGAGGGATGAATACGTCTGAGAAAATTATCACAGCTGAATAAACAGCATGAACAAGCTGTCAAAGACAAAAAATACAACAGCTGGATTGATGTAAAGGAACTTTTCAATTGAGGGTATTTCATTTTTGACATATGAACTTTACATGAAGCTTAAATTTTAAAGCTTTTCTAGTCTAAAATTGACTTTTCTATAGTAAAACGCTTGTTTTAGATGATATCCTTACGATGGCTCTTTCTACACTGACTGAAAAGTCAGAATATTCATATTTGTAGTCCAGAAAAAAATCAACTGGATCATCTCCTAAGGCTGGAAGACCAACTTCAAACATCAAAGTTTGCTTAGCAAGCCTAAAATCAAAATCCAATATGGCTTCTCCTTGTATAAATTTAGAAATAAATGCACTGACATTGAACTGCAGTTTATTAAATCACCATCTGATGGTTAACATGTTGAGTTTGGATGCATAAAAAGCAGAGAAAAACATTTTGACTGGTTTTGACCTTGGATTGATTGAACACAACGATCAACAAGTCTAATCAGTTCCCACTGGTTTCCAACTGGGAACTGATGGACACAAAAATAAAACTCTGTATGCTTCACCCAGTTAAGTTTCTCACAGTTTGCCGTTTGTTTTGGTTGGACCAAACGTGTTATTACAGTAGATTGTAGTACAAGAACACTGGCAGACTTGACTAAAAGAGAAATTGTAGGCATTTAGAGTTTTATGTGAGGCAGCATCAGTTTAGGAAAACACTTTATTGATACATCTGATTATCAGAATACATGATGTTCAAATGGGTCAGTCCTTATTCTCCTCTTTTGTTTCCTTTCATTGGTTTCTTCATCACTTTCTCTGAACTTTTGCATCTTGGTTTCTTCTTTTGGTGACTAAAGATCCAAATCAAATGTGAGAATAAAAGATTCTCACAGTATAAAAAAAAATATTTTTTATGTTGTATATTTGCTGTGCAAACTTTGAGGTTTTACATGTTACACCTCTAACATTTAAGAAGAAAGCAGTGATAGTACAAGTATATTTATGAAGATGAGTTGATGTTCTGTGGCCAAAACCTGAAGATTATCATCCAGGTGACACACAAATATATTTATATTTCTAATGAATCAAGAGTTTTCAATTAACCCTTCCTCAATAGTTATTACTCATATGATCAATCATGTGATCATATTTTCAGAGTTATTGTACAAAAGATTTTCTGGGGGAAAGTTTTTGGAGTCTAATGATGACGTTGCACTAAAACGGTGTCACTTTTTATCATGTGGGAAAAAACTGTTAATAAATTAAAAATGGAAACTAATTTTATTGGAATTTTTCTATAAAATATCATCACATAATATCTTACTGAAGATGAAGCATCTTGATTTATAAGAAAAATGAGTTGCAAAACAGTCCAGAATATGTTTGCCTTTTTAAAAGAAAGACAATTAGATAATTCTACTTCCCAATATTCTTAGTTTATAAAAGAGTTTTTAGATTATTGTGATCCTGTTCACTATCAGAAAAGCAAAGAACATGTCAAATAAGCTGCAGATATTTGGTGCATTTAGTTTTGCATTTTCCCTTTTTAAGATTTGCAGTCATTAAAAATCCTGCCAGGAATAATAATAATAATAATAATAATAATAATAAAACAATTGAGATTGGAGGCGTTCTTGAGCTAAGAATAAGAATGTTTTTCTTGTTCAATGCTGATTTACATTCTGCATGTACCTGATGCTGTTTCATATCAGGAAGTGATAATAAATGTTCAACTTTAAGCACAAAATCAGCAAACCCAAAGACACCTGGCAGGTTTAGTAGTTTTTCCTACTTCTTGATCGTACCATGAAAAGCAGCACCATTCCAACAACTTTCATGATCCGCCAGCATAAATATAAACCTGATAACATTTAATTAAAAAATGTAAGCAGCCCTCGCCTTCTTTTCCCCTCCATCCTGGTTTTCATGCCTCCGGTTGCAAACAGACGGAGATAATCTGAAATCCATTTGCGCTCGTTTATCAGGGGGAACACTTAGTTCAGAGCTCCACCAGCTTCCCTGATATTGACATTATTATCGAGGTCGTTGCGCATTCTTTGCTTCTCTGGCATCGTTTACACCACAAACACTTTGTGGTGGTCAAACTTTGATAAACGCCGGGAGGGAGGAGCTTCCTGGAGACATCGCCGTCCTTGGAACAAAATATGAGCTGAATAAAGTGGTCAAGCAGTTGAATATTTTATAGGCAACCTGGAAGTTAACTCCTCTGTGGTTTGCTGGCTGCAGTCGCTCTATAACTCCAGCTGGCTTTAGAAGAAAAAGAAGAAGAAGAAGAAAATGTTTACAGTTTCATTTTTTTGTTGGTTAATTTGCTTATTAGAGATTTCGATGGCCTGTGTTGTTGATCGTAATATAAATACATAAGGAAATAATCTAATGGATCGGCTAATACATTAAAATTTTTTGACATATTATATTTTATTTATACAAATAAATGTTTTAATTATGATATTTTCTAATCCCTGTTTTTTTTTTTCTAAAATAAAACTCAAATCCTATAAAATAAATTTGACTGAGGCATGTTTGAATTATGCTGTTATTCTTTATTTGTTTAATTAGTACACTCTTCAAAATAGGAAAGACAAGAAAACATGGCATTGACATAAAGCAGTGTGAGATTATTCTTCCGGAATAAAGCACCTGATTATCAGAGCTGCCAACGCAGCTCAATCTGAAAAGAATTACAACAAACATGCAAATTATTTAATAATTATATAAATTCCTCCTAGAAATCTTTATGTAGATGCCTGAATTTTAATATTTTTGTGCTAAATTTCAAAGAGAAAAAATTGCTTTTAATTAAAATGTATGAAAGTATGGAGTTTTATGTACAATATATAGCAATTTTTACATTTAGTAGTTTGTTAAATTGTTTCTGATTGGTGTGTTTGTGCATTAAGAAAACAATGTTAAAGACACTTTTTAAAATATCATCTTTTGAGCCTTTTCAGCTGGAACAGCTTTTTTAGGGGTTTCTCTTCACAGAGCAGAAAACCAAAAATATTCAGTGCAATAAGCAATTAGAAACTATCAATACATTTAATTGGCGTTAATTTTATACTTTCATTCTATTGAGATTAAAATAATAAACATGTATAACATCATTGTAGTTGTATTTAGCTATAATATATTAGCAATTGTTGCTTTGTTGTTTTGAATGTAAATCATGTTATTTAACATTTTTAATAAAAAAAAATTGGGTGTAACACCTTGATACTCTGATACAGTAATTAGTTTTGCGACTCTTTCAGTGTAAATCTCTAACAGATGCGGCTTTATTTCGGTATAAACCTGTTTTAACTCAGCAGACTGACTTGTGTCGACCTGATCTGTAAGGAGTCCAGAGTCTGAAAGGAGGATCTGTTTTTGTTCCAGCGTTTCCTAAGATCTTCGTTCAGGTTTGATTTCTTTCGTTTGTTTCTGTCGTGGGCAAACTTGCGTGACGGCTCATGTGACCGTGGCCTCGCTGCACTGGTGACAGCCATGTGTCCGTGAACCGGTGGATAGAGGGAAGTGACATATTGAGTGGTCTGTCAGGACACGCGCAGCCGTGCATGTATGCACACATGCATGCATGCATACATGCACACGGTTCCAGGAACTGCTTTAATTAGGGCATGTGAGGCCTTATAAATTCCCCCTTTTCAGACCTGGGTCTTTCAGTTTCACATGAACCAAGTGAGTGGGAGGAAGGTGGGGAGAGACGAGAGAGAGAGGAGGAGGAGGAGGAGGAGGAAGAGAATGGGAGTTTTTTTTTCTTTTTGTTTCTCCCCCCCATCATGGTCTTGTGTTGTAGTTGCTCCTGTCATTCTGAGAATATCTCTAGTATTACTCTGAACTGTATTCATGCGAAAATAATGAGAAATTACACCTCGGCGCTCAGGCTGATGCATCATCGTTTACATGAGGGTCACGGCGGTTCATTGGTGGTTTGATGTGATGGCACCTTCCCTATTTGGCCGCTGCAGGAACTTCTCATGGCTTTCCCGCCTTCGTTTTAAACCTTATTAATAAGTCGAGGCCTGGAATCCTGAACAACTTGGCCG